TRKYKTWGCTCTTTAATTTTTGCCATTTCTGCTACTAGTCCAATCCAAAAAATAGAGTCGAGCAAAAAACAATGCTTACTAATCTACTCTTAGTGCAATGGTGCAACTTGTAATGTAATTAATAAGAAGACCTGGGAGTACTTAAAGAGTAACCATATTGTGGTGTATGTAAGACAGATTAAACCAAACAGCCGTTTGCTCAAACTCCATTTAATCAATACTAAAAGCGCATGCGCCAATCCCTGAAACAGGGAACCCGGTAACATAACATGGCGCAATGTACTACATTACTCCCCCCTGAAAAAGGGGATTGAACAAATGTTAACTAAAAAGTAAACAACAATAAAAAGTTAGTGTTCCTTGAGGTCCTATTGAATGCTTAGAGATCCAGTCTTTGTGGGGTCTTCCTCTGTCGGATTGGGTATCTTCTTTCTTGCTGTGAGTTGGTAGAAGTTGGTAGAGGNCAAATGCCCGTATGTTTACAACAGGAACAATTAGTCTCTTATTAACTAGTCCATCTTATTACACCATCGCCGATCTATCCAAGTTCTATGCTCTTTGAATGCCTACCCAATCTGCGAGTTAAAATGAAAGTAAATAAATAATATGAATTTTATGTTTCGATGCCTCTGTCGTAAGTTGCACATTGGTCAGAAATTTGTTGGTCGAAGATATTTAGCAAACAAAATATAAACATATATAAATATTACCTAGTAACTTGCTAAGTCATGGCTGCAGAGCTCAAGCAAAGTTTGCTGGTCAGATTACAATAGATATCAACACTTAAATCCGTCACAATGACGTCATAGATATTAGATAATTTTTCGACGTATACTCAGCGCGAGCGTTTTCAGGGTTTTGAACATAACTATAAGCCAGGCGTGTGGGGACGCAAATTGAAGAAGCTTCAAAATTATTATATTTTTCCTCTGTACTTTTATAAAAATGGGCAAAATCTTTGGGGAACAATAGAGCGGAGTTCCCCCCCCCCCCCCTACCCTAGTGATATACACTATCAGTATCTTTTCTATAAACCTGCCAGTACATTTAAGTTGGCGTTTGAATTGGCAATCACTCAAATTTGTGGCTCTATAGGAATGAATGCACTTCCATACCAAAAAATTGAAAGAAAGCACATATTGAGATATCGCCTGATAAAGATATCCCAGGATTGGCTACTAAAAAACCAAGCCGCCAAAAACTACACTCACGACATAACTGCAAAAACTTCGCTTCTTTAAACCTTCATAATATGGGACAATTTACGGCACAGATGATTAATTCTAATTTTTTTTCCATAGTTTTAGCGTTTTTACTTTAGTGTGACAGCAATAAATATGTAAAATTGAAACTATACAAGATCGTTATATGACTTGAGCGAGCTTTGGGTAATGGAAGAGCAAATTCGTGTAATACAGATGATTTTTAGAATGATAAAGGTAGTTATAAAGCTCATTAATATTCATAAGGAAAAACACAATAGAAATCATAGCCCATGAAGAGAGTTGTATATTACTTCTAAACCTCATGAATTATACATTAGACATTCTTCCAATGATCATTCAACTATGGGTCACATGACAGGATCTATAAGTTATAAACACTGATTAATTAAACATGAGTTTTTTAACTAACCGGTTCAGTTAGTTATAACACTCATGCATAAAACATCAGTGTTGTAACTGATTTACAGACACTCGATGTGTGCCAAACACTAGAAAAAGTTCTCAGTTTTAGACTCTCATCATAGAACTTGACAAGGTTTCGAATTGAAATTACTTATTTGCAGAGTCACAGTACACTAAAACATAGTGGCGCTTGGATTTGGGAAACCAAGTTGATTACTGCTCATGCTCAAATGGAGATATCTTCATCAATTATTCATTTTTGATATATTTTTTATTCATTTCATGTTTATTGTAGTTTCTTAAGTTTGGGTTTTAGAAGTCATTTCTAGAATTCATTAATAATTCATGAGCTATTAGTCCAAGGAGCATCGAACTATTGGGTCACATGATGGACCTTTATATCAGATATATCAATCAATCAATCAATCAATCAATCAATTTATTTCATTCATAATCATTATTACATTCTTATATACTTTGCAATTTATAGAATAATAATTTGTAATGACTAAGAATAGGAGCCTATGAAAAGCAACAAGTGCTTATGAAATATAGACCCCTTTTACATATTTTCTTTTAAAAAAACATTTTTTCCAGTTACAAAAGATGAAAAAAATAATTAACTTTGACAAATAAATTTTGAAATCATTATAACTTATTATTAATGTATGTACTTAAAAAATAACTATTTATCTATCTTAAATCTTCAATGAATGAAATAATTATTAAATTGATTTAAATTGATTTAAATTTAAATTAAATTGATTTATAGAACTGATGTTTTATTAATCAGTTTTATATCAGATATAAAGAACTGATCAAGTTCATCATCGCTTTATYGCAACCCAACACTAGCAAAGCTCTCAGTTTTAATGTCGCATCATAGACCTTTGCTAGGTTTTAAATCAGTTTGAATCAATGTGCCGACATGCACTAGAGATAGACTAGCCGCTCTATCGTGCGATTAATTTATTGATTAATTGCTAGTAATAAATTAATCGCATATCAATTTTAGGTTTATTGCGCGCGCTTTTATAACGCCATAACTTATGAACGCGCTCTTCGTTTTGATGGTGAAGTTTTTATGTTATTGTAACGAGATTCATTGCATAACCCTGAAGATGACCGCGTAGGTCGAAAGCTAGGTTTTATTTTATTKAACACCAAGGTTGATGCAGCAAAGTACACTATGAAATTGTAATATCAGTCAGAAGGTTCTGCATTTTTAGGACAAACACTTGTTACTAGGAAAATGATATTGTAACCAGACAAAAAAAGTCAATGCAAAATATTTTATTTGCATATAAGTAAAGGGAACAGAGCATGTAATATGCAGGTGAGATAAATATCGACAACAAAGGCAACTTGACCCTGTATGCAGGGTTGACACGTACCCTTTGTTGTGNTGATGCCCCCACCTGAACTACGTAGGTGCGAGGTCCACATACCTTCACTACGCGAGCACGCAGCCAAAGTTCCTTTCCCCTAGTGAAGTTCCTAACCCTCACTAAATCGTTGCATTGGAAAAGACGCTCTGCCACCCTTCCCTTATCATGACCTTTCTTCTGTAGATTCTGTTTCTCTTTAACTGATTTGTCCAGGTTGGGTTTCAGGAGGGTAWGGCGTGTTCTGAGTTCCCGTTTAAGGAAAAGCTCCGAGGGAGTGCGCCCAGTGGTACTGTGAGGTGTCACGCGATACATCAACAAAAACTGTGAGAGACGCTGGTTAAGAGTTCCTGTCTTGTTCGCAATAACCTGTTTCTCCAGACCCATCTTGACGATTTGCACCGAACGTTCTGCAGCCCCATTAGAACTGGGATGATAGGGAGGCATAAGCTTGTGTTTTATTCCATTTCTTTCCATGAAAAGCTTAAACTCACGAGAGGTGAATTGGGGCCCATTGTCRGATACCAACTGCTCCGGCAGACCGTAACGACCAAAACACGATCTCAAGACATCTATTGTTCGTTCAGCTGTGGTTGAGGACATAGGTGTCACTTCAATCCATTTTGAGTGGGCATCTATCAAGATKAAAAACATAACCCCTCCTTTCTCTGCAAAGTCTACATGGACCCTCTGCCAAGGCCTGGTAGGCCAAGCCCAGGATAGTAATGGTGCTTCTGCCGGTAGGCGTCTTGTAGACTGGCAAATGTCACAATCTTGTACTAACTCCTCAATTTCATGATCTAGACCAGGCCACCACAGGTAACATCTAKCCAGTGAYTTCATTCTGACGATTCCGTGATGTTCTTCGTGGAGTTCTGTTAACAATCTGTGTCGATAGGTGGGRGGAATAACTACCCGCAAACCCCACAAGRGGCAACCATCCTCAGTAGTTAATTCATGTCTTCGCCTGAAGTACGGGGTAAGACTTTCATCAGGRYTATGYTCAGGCCATCCATTCAATGTGTAGTCATAGGCCCTTGCCAAGACGGGGTTTTCCCTTGTGGCTCTTCTTATCTCCTGTGAGGTGATTGGTAATTGGTCACTATATGATAAGGAGTGGATAGAGCTTTCTGTCGCTTCTTCAATCTCGGCGGTTTTATCGGGAAGCCTTGACAAGGCATCAGCGTTCGCATGTGACTCCGACTTTCTGTACTCGATCCCATAGTCGTATGCTGACAATACCAGACTCCACCTTTGCAGCCTTGCGGCGGCAAGCGTGGGTACACCTGTCTTGGGCCCAAGAATACTTAGCAGTGGCTTGTGRTCAGTAACAAGGGTGAAGTGAGCTCCATACAGATACATGTGAAACTTTTTTACACCAAATACCAGGGACAAAGCCTCCTTGTGCAGCTGTGCATAGCCCTTTTCCGCCTTGCTGAGCGTACGTGAGGCAAAAGCGATCGGTCTCTCCTGGCCATCCTCCATAATGTGAGACAAAACAGCCCCTACCCCCA